CCAGTGTTTGTATTAATTAATAGTGAATTTTTCATATTTTCACCTGAAAAGTTGTGAATACGTCTGTTCAATCTTTTTTGATAAATATCTTACGATCCTCAGGAGTAAAAAATTCTCGAGACTCCAAATTTCCTCCAATCTCACATCCAATGGACACCGAATAATCCAACAACCCCAGGTATCATTAAAATTTGCAAAAAGAAACCTCTCGACACTATGAGAAATCAATCTAACGTAATGACATAGTCTACTCAATCTTTTTTCTCAAATATCTTACGATCCTCAGGAGTCAAAAATTCTGGTGACTCCAAATTTCTTCCAATCTCACATCCAATGGACACCGAATAATCCAATAACCCCAGGTATCATTAAAATTTGCAAAAAGAAACCTCTCGACACTATGAGAAATCAATCTAACGTAATGACATAGTCTACTCAATCTTTTTTCTCAAATATCTTACGATCCTCAAGAGTCAAAAATTCTCGAGTTCCAATTTGACATCCAATGGACACCGAATAATCCAACAACCCCAGGTATCATTAAAATTTGCAAAAAGAAACCTCTCGACACTATGAGAAACCAATCTAACGTAACGACATAGTCTACTCAATCTTTTTTCTCAAATATCTTACGATCCTCAGGAGTAAAAAATTCTGGTGACTCCAAATTTCTTCCAATCTCACATCCAATGGACACCGAATAATCCAACAACCCCAGGTATCATTAAAATTTGCAAAAAGAAACCTCTCGACACTATGAGAAATCAATCTAATGGAATAATCTCGAACAATTTCTCTAATGTAACAACATAGTAACGGCGAAAGAAAAGCCCGAAGAAACAACAGTGGAGCGAAAGAGTTGAAGTTTCGTGGCTCGTCGATTAGCCAGACGAGGCGATGAAAGAGTTCGATGAAATAATGACGGGACCAGGTCGATAAATAGTACGCCTCTGCTGCTCTTAGGGGCGGAGTGAAGCAGGTGGAAGGGGATCGAGGGGAGCCTGAGGGATCCGCGTTAATGCCAGCCAAGGGAAGACAGCTATCAAAAGCCCGTATTTAAATATTATCAGTGAAATTACAGTGCTCACTGCTCGCGAGGGCTGCTCGGTCATTACCGACTGGCAATTCGGCCTCTTTAATCGCCGTTGTCAATACTAATCGACATCGTCGTTATTTAATATTCCTCCGCTTGTGGTTCTTCCCTTTTTCACGGTCCGAAATCACTCTTCTTCTTTTTCTTTTCTTTTCAATTTAACACACAAAGTTTTGCTACATTTTCAAGAACAGTATCTTGCGAATTTATTGAAATTTTCATTGGAGATGAATAGAACGAAATCCCGTGAGAATGATTAATATATTCATTAGTAATCTTTCGAACTCTTCTAAATATTGTTTGGAAATTAATTGAGCGTGTTTGGGGAATAATGAATACGTTGATCAATAAAATTAACGTTTACCGAGAGGAATATTCGCGGGATTATTCTAAACATTGTTCTGGAATAATTGTACGGGTCCTGGGAATGGTCGATGTGTTCGTTGGTGAAATTACTGTTTTAGGAGAAGAATATCCTGTGATCTCTTGATTACTTCTCTGGGATGAATGAACGTGTACTAAAAAATCATCGATGCAATCCATTTATCATGGATCATCCGTGTCACTCCTCAAAAAAATAAAATTACTATCCTCCATTTCCTATATTTTATGAATAACGTCTAAAATATCAATTGTATAGCCCAGTGTCAAAGTGTTCACTGCCACTGTGTCCTTACTCAAAAAAATTACATTACTATCTTCCATTTACCATATTTTACGAATAATCCGTAAAATCTCAACTGTACAGCTCAGTACCAAAGCTCTCACTATCAGTGAGAACCAAAGCGAGTGAGAATGAAAGTGTCACTTCCCAAAAAAAAAAGTCAAATTCCTACCTTCCATTTCCCATATTTTATGAATTACATACAAAACACCAATCGCACAGCTCGCTATCAAAGTTCTCACCGCGAGTGTGTCACATCTGAAAAAAACCTCTCTACATAGTCGCGTTTGTTCCTGCTCGAAGGTCCGTTAGAAGAACGAGCCGCGAAGGAACAATGCGAAATGCAAACAGTATCCCCCAGGTAGAATCTCGAACCGTGAATATTCTATTGCATGCATCGGCTCGCGACGCGTCTGGAAGCATCGCGATTACTCACATCAGCCACCGAAACCGCCGACGCGGATTAGCGATGCCGTCGTTTTCATCGTTGGCAGCCGCGTAATAACACGGCGAATCGCAATTAGGAACCGTCTACGGCAAATAGTATCGGCCCTGGTTATCTGCTTACGAGGTCCTCATTAGCATACACCGGCGAATAGAGCAACGACGATGAAACGATCGAGGAACAGTGGGTGCAGTAGAAGATGTTGAACGAAGGGGAAAAAAGAGGAGAAGATTGCCGAGAGAGAGAGAGAGAGAGAGAGAGGTGGGTGTGAAGGGATGAGTAAGAAACGACGAAGAAGAGGTGGAGAAATAATTAAAGCTACTACGATCGCTATCTAAATAATTAGAAGTTGGCGTGACTCTGCATAAGGCCCACAGCGTGTACGCGCCGACTGAACTGTCAGATCGTAAGATTCCGCGAGGCGCGGGCATAATTAGGCGAGAAATATGAACGCGAAATCCGTGTATTTAAATCGCGACGCGCGCCTGAGGAAGCGATGTGTCAAAATCGTGCCGCCGGATATTTTCCTTTTCTTTTTTTCTTCCTTCTCCTTCTTTTTCTACGATTCCCTCTCTTTTCCTCTTCCTTCTTTTCCACGACCTGAACGGAGCTGAAATCGTAATGCTTCCTAGGTAACCGCCTCGATCGGTCGTGAGTCACCTCTCGACGCGCTTTCGACTATCGCTCCTTTTTGCGCAATCCCGTGCTCTACGTATGGAACCGTGAATAAGTCGAGCAACGGCGAGAATGACTCGACTTACTATTTCAAAGTAGCTCAGAAATTGGTTGAAATATCGCGGAACAGAGTTGCCGAATCGAGAATAGCTCTGAAATATTTTTCTTCATTTACTAATTAAGATAAGAATTTTCTTTATTTACCAATTAATGGAATAAAACATTTTCCTCGAAATATTCGTGAATATTTGAAATTACTGGTTGCCTCGATTCCGATAACTTCCTCGTGTTGGTTCGAATAATTGCATGCAAATGACGAGAGAGTGGCGTTGAGAGGTGGAGAAGCACGGGACACGCGGTGAATTGGCGAATAGAGACGGGAGAACTGGCGAAACAGGAGGCGACGTGGCTGGCGGCATTGTCAAAGGGTTCCTCCGGGAGGCTCGCGAATCACAGATGCAATCAGATAAAGGGCGGTTCTTCTCGGATTACCGTATGCGAGCCCCCGCTGTGTCCACGCACCTTAAAGTACCATTCTCACGTGCGGCGACACAACCGGGGCCCACGTGCTCGAGATACAGTTGAGACCGACCGCCGGGCGGTTCTCATGTGTTATCAGGATCAAATTATATAATGCACCCTTGACAAGGATTCCTGCGTCCCAAGGTCTCTGTTAAACGCGAGATTCCTTTCGCTAGCGACTTTGCTTCGGACGAACTTGAATTTAAATTACCGGGTCAATTTTTCGAGAATCTTTAGAGATTTTATATTTGAATATTTGGTGTCGAGTGTTTCCGAGCGACAAATTTTTCGTCTCCGAAAATTGAGCAACTCAGAGTCCATTCTTCCTCGTACATTTAACCCTTCGCTGGCAAATTAGGTCGTTTGTGTTCGAGTCTAATTTTTTTCATATTCTAGGCTTTCAAAATGTCTGAAAAAATTCTGAGACACTTATCGAAGTCTCTGCTACATTGTACAATCGTTCGTTGAGTCAAATGTTTAAAACTTTGTTCGACAAAAATCAAAATTCGTGACGAAAAAATGCAAGAGTGAAATTTCGCTCGATTGCCTATACAGAATTAACATTTCCGTTCCATAAAAATTGCTGTATCTTAAAATTTCGTTGAATACAGCCCCAGAGAGCCAGTGATCAAATTTATATTCCATTTTCGTTAATTTGAAAAATTCCACTTTAACGAAGTATCGCTTGAAAAGGAGAAAAATACTATTTCCACGTCGTATTGCATCTAAATTACAAAGCACGCCTGAATTCAACGATTAAACTCGCAATTGAAATTGCAAGGACCAACTTGGGCAATTAAGCTTCTAATGCTTCTCAGAATTACAAAGATAATGTCACAGGGAGAGACTTAAGAGCAGCAGATAGAACGACAGTCAGAAAAGCGATCATCCACGTATCTTCGATTAAAACAATCACTCCCGCGGGCTGGTCGCGAACGAATTCGATCACGTCGCTGCGATACCACGGGCAACCACTATGATTACGCGAGAGCCACCTTGATGACGAACCTAAGTCGTGCTAGCTCCGAGGTACGCTTCGTTCCGAAGGCAATCCGAATCGAGTCGGTCCAGGCTGGGATTAATCGGACTTTTGTTCCGTCCCAGGGTGCTTATTAAGCCTGATTCTTTATTGTGCCTGTACAGGCATGCAAACACGGCCAATATGGCGGCTGTACAGTACCGATCAAGTTGAACCGAAGCTTACCGAAACCATCATTAGAGGCAAACGTGACCGACAAGTGGCAATAAGTCTGCGAGATGTTGTAATTTTGTAGTTGATAAAAATAAGAGTAATTAGTGGTTTCTGGTATTTAAATTTGGGCTAGAGTTTCGCTTCTATAAGTGAGTTTTTATTCAAGTCGAAGTAGTTATTGATACAATAGAAATGTACAGTGGAATAATTATCGATACAATAGAGAGATTTCTATAATAATATTAGAGGAATGAGAAATGAAGTAATGTTTAATTGAATTGGGCAATTTTCTACTTAGATAATCAGAATGCACCGATACACCGATGAATAAATTATCTTATGCTACCTATCGATTAACGAATTCTTCAGAATTGAGATTTTTTCGCCATTGTCTATGTTGCAAAAATAATCACCGATTTTTCATATCCGAATCTAAGAAGCTGTTCGTAGATTTAGGACGCAAGAGGACGATCTGCGTGACTGAATCGGGAAAGGGTCGGTCGATTTTCATTTTCGATTGGTTCCCGATTGATGGAACGCATTTGTGTGCCTTCAGCTGGTACCGTTCGCCATATTGGCGAGCACAAAAATCGCACTTGTACGGTTTCTCCCCGGTGTGCCCGTAAATGTGCTTGGCAAGCTTCGTTTTCACGCTGAACCGAGACTTACACAGGTCGCACTCGAACTGTTTCACACCTGTGTGACGGTACCTGTGCACCTTCAGGCCCCAGGACCTCCTGTAACATTTTCCGCAGTCCTCGCACTTGTACGGCCTCACTCCTGCAAATCAAACATGTTGTTGCGTTCAATTTTTTACCGTGAAAATTTATTTTTATAACTTTCGATATCGTCTTTCGAATGGTAAAACTGTGAATTTGCAAACATTTCAATTTTCTGGAGGGAAAAAGCTAGGGCAAAGGTGAAAATTTTGGCGCTTATGTCGTTTATCACCTGGACGTTGTATCTTTGTGGATTTAGAAGGGAAATTTGAATTTTCTAGGAGAGAAAAGGCGAGGTCAAAGGTGAATGTTTTGGCACTTGCGTCGTTTATCACTCGAACTCTATATCTTTGTAAATTTAGAGGGGAAATTTGAATTTTTCAAAAGGAGAAAAAAAGCGAGGACAAAGGTGACAATTTTGGCACTTATACGGTTTATCACTTTAATGCTATATAAGCGAGGTCAAAGGTGAAAATTTTGGCACTTATACGGTTTATCACTTTAATGCTATATAAGCGAGGTCAAAGGTGAAAATTTTGGCACTTACGTTGCTTGTCACTCGAGTGCTATATTTTTATAGATTTAGAGGGGAAATTTGAATTTTCCAGGAGAGAAAAGGCGAGGTCAAAGGTGAAAATTTTGGCACTTATATCGTTTACCACTCGAGCCCTATAAATTTTCAGTGTGTAAAGAGAAAATAATTGCTAAAAAGTGCAAGAGATTGCTTAAATTTATTTATCATCGCACTCCACTTCGAATATTCCACTCTAGCATAGATCTCCTCGAACTCATTCACCATAAAACATACTCCAAATCCCTGTTTAAAAAATCCTTAATCCTCGAACAAACGAAACACATGAAACCCTGTACGAAATTACCAGCGAACGCTAGCGAATCACGTTTTATACCCGGAAACCGGCAGCGTGATTTTCTTAATTGACCATCGTTCCACTTGTCAGTACTCGTAAAATGCAAACACGCGAAGGAGGCAAATGACGAAACAGAAGAGCGAACGAAAAAAAAAGAAAGAAGAGAAGAGAAGAGGGAAGAAAAATATTAAAAGTTGGAAGCGATTCTTAAACGACCAGCCTCTTCCCTATTATATTCGAGCGTTTACAACCGAAACGTTATCGCCGTTTAACTACACACGTCTATCGTACATCACGGAACACCGTGAAACCCCCATCGTGACGAGAAATGGTTAATTGGCAGCCGTGTAACACCGGTAAACCTTGATTTTCTAATTAATACGGACCACCGTCTTCTTCTTTACCCCTCTCCTCTTCTCTCTTTCTCTCTTCTTCTTCTTCCTTTTTTTTTTTGTGTCGGTTAACCGGTGTAACACGATGGCGTAAGTGGCTGGCACGCTTATCTCGCGATTTTTATGTCTCAATACCCGACCTCGAATTTATATGAGAAAGCAAAAGCCGCGACGGAGGAAGTTGTGTTCGGTGGCTTCGTGCAAAGAAGCAGTTTCTATATTACGCGTCTGTACTCTTGCGACGCCCGCCTATTCCTTCTTCTTCTTCTTCTTCTTTGTGAGAATATTCACATTGAGGCCTGTGTCTGACTTCGTTAAATTCGCCGTCGTGTTGAAGATATTTAGCTATTGGTTTTCAGATTAAAAATTGTAATTTGAAGAGGTTCGGTGGGTAGGTGTGCACTTTGTCTGGAGTATGTTGAACTTGATTTTACAATTAGTATTAGGCGATGCTGGTTCACACGTGGAAATTAGAGGTTCTGGGTTAGCGAAGTGGGAAATATTGTGATTTAGCTGAAGTATGTTTTACGGTAGAAGAGAGATCGACTTTTTAAATATTCAGTATTCATCGTGGTACTCGATTTACGAAATTTTGGTGCGCCGAGGTTGGAGGAAGTTGGTTCAAAATTGAAAAAAAAAAAAGGGTGGTTTCTCGTTTGTAACGAGTCAGACGTGACTGGGTGTCTTTTAAGAATGTCTGAAAAGAGCGAGAGGAGTAGAGTAACAGAGCGGGAGAGAATGTGAGAGTGCAAGGATATATTGTGCGGAAGATGCGTTCGCGAGTCAGTGAGAAAGCAGTCCATTTTGAGAATCGAACGTGAGAATAACATTGTGAGTAACCAGCGAGTGCATTCACTAGGATCGTTCAATGAGCGAGGAGATAAACCAAAAAGATATCCAACTGTACGAAACCTAGATTATTACGCAAATGAGGCAGAGCCTCCAAGCCTAATTTCTTAACTTTTCAGTTAGTTTTCAAATATACTAAAATAGTCCTCGAGCAGCTGTTTTAACTTGTCACTTTAAAAAATCGTATTTCTTATTTAGATATTCTTTCAACTAGATCTCTTTACCTTTTTCAAATATACCGAAATAGTCCTCTAACAGCTGTTTTAAATACCCACTTGTGATTTTGAAAAGTCGTACTTCTTGAACTACAGCTCTTTGCCTTTCTATTTATTGAACGATCCTCCTGTTAACCCTTATGTCAATAACCACAATTGTCGTCTACTTTATCGTCCAATTTCAGTAATTTCAGTAATTGGAAACTTGAGGCAAACACGGATAGGAAATGTGCGAAATAGCAACGATCTGGCCGGGTATCTCAATCTTTTACCTGGAAGATCAAATACTTTAAGGGAGAATTATGCAAAAGTGTACCCGGTTATTGACATAAGGGTCAATAGAGAACGAATCGAGAATCTCTGAACCACCGACGCAAAATTTTACGAAATACTGCAAAATTCTCACCGTAATGCGACAGAATATGGTGCTTCAGAGCTCCCTTGAGGTGGAACCGGTGCTTGCAGATGTCGCACTCGAACCTTCTAACCCCGGTATGCGTGAGCTTGTGAGTCTTGAGGACGGAGGACCTCTTGAACTTGGCGGGACAAAGATCACACTCGAACGGGGAATCCGCGGTGTGAACGATCATGTGAGCCCTGAGGCTGCTCGGTCTGAGGAACCTCTTCTTGCAGACGGAGCACTCGAAGGGTTTCACGTTCGTGTGCATCAGCTTGTGATCACGCAACGACTGTCGATGGAGCAGCTTCTTCTTGCACACGCCGCACTCGTACGATCTGCGATACGAGTGCGCCTCCGCCTGGTGCGTCCTCAGCTGGTCCCTCTGCTGGAATTCGCGTGCGTTCCGAAATGACAATTCATTCGATCTTGTTGTGCGGAAGAGGAACGGAGAAGAAGAAATTGTAGAGAGGAGAAGAAGGTGGGAAATGGGGGAAAGTCGTACCTGAAATCGAAGGCTGCAGTGCCTGCATATGAACGCTTTGAAGGACTCGTGGAGCCTCAGGTGATCCTTCAACGCTGACGATCTTGATATGAGAAAGTAGAGTTTCAAATTTATTCGTATTTTCTTGCAAAGTGTGTTAGTTAAAAAATTCCCAAAAATCCGGAACATTCTCTAATTTAAACGCTTACATTTACCTACTGGATATTGCAAAATTTCGAATACAGATTACCTGACGAACATTCACACGAGAAAGTAGAAATTGTTTAAATAGTGGTTTAACAACCAGGTACCAATTCCCATCTCGAAATTTACACATTTCCTACCGTGAAAATTGTTTTCCACAAAGCCCACACTGAAACAGCTTCCCATAGCTGTGCCCGACCATATGCGTCTTGAACTCCGCTTCATCAGGGAACTCTGTCCTGCACACGCTGCATATCAAGCTTCTCCCACTCGCCAAAGCTTCCATGTACTCCTTGAAATCTGCGTAAGCGTCCAAGGTAACGTCTCTGATACCCAAAGTGAAAATCCTTCCCCTGCATTTCTCGTACACAGAAAAATCATCCTGGCGAGCATGTCTCTCCTTCTCCAACTCCTGCTCGTAACAGAGTTCGACATCCAGCTCGTCGTTGGCCGAGAAGTTCTCTATCTCGTCCAGCACCTCGGTCTTGATTTTCACCTTAGGCGAGGAAAAATTGGGTGGATTTTCGTACGGTTTCGCCGCGTGGTAATCGCGCTCCGCGATCTCCCGCGTTTCGTGGACATTGCGTATGCAGGATATTAGATAATTTCACGAGCCGCTTCCGCGAGATATGGCGGGGCTCGGAAGGAGGAGCTCCGCGATGAGCGCTTTAATAACCCGACGATGGTATTACGCAAACCGCGGCGGCGGCGGCGAAAAAGAAGAAGAGGAAAAAAAGAAAAAGGAA